GTGTACCACCTCTGAGAGTACACGCTGTGTACCACCTTTTTTATTTTACTTTGATTTCACTACATCTTTTATTATCACCTCTCGTTGTGACAGTTACAGTTCAGAGACTGTAATTTTTTTTTTTTTAAACCTTAATTGTATTGTAATTTTCCATCATTTGTTTGTTTTTTCTTTTAATTCAATTTCCTGAGAACCACTAGTGGTAAGAAAACCACAGTTTGAGAACCAGCCCTTCACTCCTGCAGTACACATACAGATGTGAGTCAGAGTAGCTCATTTATACTGCAGCCAGGTCCCAGTTTTATACGTTCAGTATTTATGGTCCGGCGGTCCAATCAGACAGAACTCATCAATCACACCAGCACATGTTTTAATTAAATCATAAAGTACCTTAGCCACTGAATCAGTCACCGTTTTTACCAGTGACACTTTCCTTCAGAGTCTCAGGAAGAAAAGACTTGTATTTTATCAGGAGATGTTTTATTTTGAAAAATCGATTTCATATCTGGATTCTCTACCAGTTCTGCCTTTTAACTGCACGTGATGTCCGATATCATCGGCCTGATATTAGCATATTACGAAGTATCTGTGAAAATCGTTATCGGTTTTTCCTCTGATAATGAAAACCCGATAATGCAATGCTTGGGTTTCGCCAAATGAAAAATAGTTTTGGGGATAAACGGCTGTGTATTTAAGTTAAAGTCACTAGATGGCGGCATTGCATCTCATTTAACTAATCTCATCCAGTGTTTTGTACAGATAAATAAATAAATATTACCTAAATCAGAATTGGAAATTAAGTAATAATAATAATTATTATTATTATATAATATATAAATAATATAAAAAAACTTTCTGCAGTAAATATTTGCCCTCAGACATTTTTTTTTTATACCTGGTTCTTCCAGATGTTCCGTCTCCGCCCTCCGCCATCGCCCTGCTGCTGTGCACTGGCTCAGAGATGGTGTTGGGTTGGAGGGCGCCGCAGAGTCGAGGTGGCGCCCCCATCCTTGGTTACTACCTGGACCAGAGGGAGGACGAACAGGTGACATGGAGAGAGGTCAACGTCAAGTCAGTCAAAGAGCGGCAGTTCAAGGTGAGTGCGGCGGTCCAACGTCACACAACCCACACACACACGCACACACACGTCAGTGTGGACTGGTCTTGGTGATGAACTTCAGATAAAACGCCATCTGTCTGAGAACTTTTTGACTCCATCACTCCCATTCACGTAGCTCTGACCAATCACAGCGACGCCTGTTCACCAACTTCAACGACTGCCTTTTAATCGACGCTCGCTCCGTCTAAAGCTTCCCTCTGCACCGTGGATGTGTCACTAGGCAACAAGCTGTGACCATGGAGACCAGGAGGAGAAGTTAAACGGTTACTCAGACTTTAGTTAGAAGAACCGGAGATCGCTGCAACTGAACAGAGAGCAGAACGGAAAATTGGTGTGTTTTATTTTTAATGGTAAAACAAAGACAACAACAACAATTCCTTACAAATGACCATTTCGTGATTATTTCTGCCCCCCTGTGGAGGACTGAAAAATAACACACAGAGTTAATCACCGTTGTCACTTTATGATGTTATTATTTATTGTAGATTTTTTTTTTTATGACATTTAAAAAAAAAGCTCATAAAGAAGAAAACACATCTGGAGTTTAAAAATCTACTAATTACTAAGAACTGTTGTATGATGTATCAGTTATAAAATAGACTAATTAGTTAAAAAGGCAATTTTACATCATTCATTTAAAATATAGTATATATTTCTTCTTAGCTCTTAATATATCTTTCAATATTGATAGATAGAAGAACCTAATTTCATCTAATGTGACAACCTTTTTAAAAAAAATCTGTCAAAGGCCACAGACTTGATGAATTTAATCGATCATTATTTGACCTCATTATTGTTGATTTAATGTAACTGCATTAAAAAAACACACTTTAATGCCATTAGTTTGTTGGCTCATCACCAGGGAGACAGATAAGTCATAGCTGTCAAATGCTGCGTCTACGCCATCTAGTGGTAGAGGAAAGAGTTCACGGTCCACACCTGGTTTGGTTCACTAACTTCACTTTCTTGTTCATTATTCTTAAGTGTGGAGTGTCCTTTCAAAATAAAACTCTGCCTTTAGAACAAACAACTTCCAAATCACCCAACACTGAAGCTTTGACCGCTGATTATGGAACAGAGCTCCAGGCTCCAGGTGCCTTGACTGGACCTGGAAACCGACTGCCATTACTGTGAAATCAGTTTTCCTCCAGCTGATGCGTGGGTCGAGCTACGAGCAGCTTAGCAGAATCTCATAACACCTAAAAAAAAGGCCCTAAAACTTCAAACGTGTGTAAATGGGAGGATCGATGCCCAGATCGATAACGCTGAATCCTCTCTCTTCCTAAACCAAATCTCAGAAATGCTGTGGCAGCAGCAGCGGCGCTAAAACCCCATAAAATGCTCATGTGAGGCTGTAGAGGCCGCTCTTTAAGATACGAGGGCTCAAAGTCTGCAGCGGAGAAACAGCCTCTGGGAGTCATGATGGGAAATACGAAGAATCCAGGGAACATCAAATACTTCACAGTACAGCAGTAGAAAAACACATCACAGCTGTACTGCGAGTAATACTCACTAGAATATTAACGTATATTCACAAATGACCCAGATCAAATACAGAATAAAAGATGACAAATGTATTTAATGAAATTGGTTTCTTAGAAGGACTGTTCAGAAATTATATATATATTTTTTTTTTTTTTTAATCCAAACTTCTTTGTTTTCAGTGTTTCTATTGGATAAAGCACTCTGTGCAACTGTTCTGGTTGTTTTGCTTTAATATTTGTAAAAGTGTTTCTGCTTCACTTTGTCTGTTAATTTGAACTCTTAAATTCAATTCAACAATCTAAAATGGTTTGACCTTTAGGTTTGTAGCCTGTCCAGTGGTCACTGGTATCGCTTCCGTGTCTTTGCTGCCAATATGGCCGGTGTTGGAAAACCCTCTGAGGCCAGTGACGCGTTCCTGTGTGAGAAGTGGACGATGCCAGAACCAGGTAGACACTGACCTCACTTTGGTTAATAAATAAATAAATAAATAAAAACAAATTCATGTGGTGGCTTTTACTATTAAAACAAATAAAAAATGATGTATTCTGTAAATACACGTATATAAATTTTGTTTGTGATTTGTTTAAATGTGATTCTTTCCAACATCACAAAAATGAACTTGAAATAATTTGATGAAACTGTTTTTTTTTTATCTTTGGTTTCACTTTTCTACATTTCCAGTGACCTTTGCCCCTTCTCTCTCTTTCAGGTTGCCCTTTTGACCTGCAGGTCAAGGAGGTGAGAAACGACTCCCTGGTGCTGCTGTGGAAGACTCCACTGTACGAGGGCCAGAGCGCCATCTGTGGGTACATCCTGGAAATGTGTCAGGATGATGAGTCGGAGGAGTGGAGGACGGTGAACGACCAGGACGTTTCTGACACACGTTACAAGGTGAGTCGGGAGTGAAGAGAGTTTCACCGTGTCATAACAGAAGAGTTCATTGATAAAAGGACAGATTAGCATGTAGCATGTTTTATCGTTGTATTAGCACGTAACAACATAGCATTGCACCGCTACGTAGCATTTATTTTTTGAGAGTCAGTCTTCACAAGGCAAGGTCCAGCTTGCCAAGCTAACACCGTTAGCCTAGCTTCTACTTAGGACATCAACACCAGATGCTAGTGTCAAACATATGTTAGCTAGTTCAGATGTTGCCCCCCGTCCGACTTTCTTTTCCCGCCTTTTCCACTGCAGTAGAGCTTGAATATCAGACTTTTCCCGCCTTTTCCACTGCAGTAGATCTTGACTATCGGGGGGGTTTTTGTTTTGTTTTTTTTGATGTGATGAAAAGGAAAGTTCAGTCTTTGTGGTCTCTGTCGTGGTCTCCAGGTCTCAGGTCTTCAGGCTGGTCAGACCTACAGGTTCCGTGTGTCTGCCGTGAACAAGGCCGGCGTCGGTCGGGCGTCCCTGCCCACAGAGCCGGTCACTGCTGAGACCAAACCAGGTATTAAAGTAGAGTAGTGTCACGTGCACAAATACTACTCAGAACTCCGTCCTGTGAGGACGAAGTTCCAGTTCCATAAACCGTGTTGAACTAGTACAGCATTCAGAGAAGAGATGAATAATTCACTGCTACAGACTCGGACTCAGCAGAACGACTGGAAACAGGGACGGACACTTCGCTGTAGGCTAAAAAAAAAAAAAAACAGAAAGTGATGTACATGATTAAACCATGAACCACGTTTACTGGTGTCACATGTTTTATGGAAAATGTAAAGTACTTTGTGTACTACTGCAGTATAACCTACTGTATTACTGCAACTGAGTGAGTGAGAACTCATCGCTGCCTCTTTTCTTTCTTCCACAGGAACTAAAGACATAGAGATAGGAGTGGACGACGACGGCTTCATATTCCTGGGCTACGAGGCCGACAAGGTGATAGAGCAGGACGACGTCGTCTGGAACAAGAACTACACGGAGCCCATCGACCCAGAGAGGGCCCAAAGTGAAACCACCAAAAACAAGTACGACCTGAACGCCACACACTCTGAAGAAATATTTGGTTTATGGTTTGAGTGTTGAGTGCAGCGACCCTGGAATGACCTTGAATCACAAATGTTTCCTGCAAATATGTCAATTTAAAAAAAAAAACTAAAAAAAATCCAGTTAACAGCAGTGGGATGTGGTTAAATTGAACACATTTCTCAACTCAAATTAATTTTAATTAAGGACTAACTCAATTAATAGAGGTCGTATCTGTGCAGTTTTACAAACAGTTTAGGTGCATTACTGCCACCTACTGGGCTGGAGTGTGTTAGGAATTAGGGCACTAAAAAAAGTCTGATTAAATGTGATATTTTCTGTAACTAACTTTTTTTTCTCAGCTCTTAAGCGTAAACTCTGATTGTTGTTGAATTTTATTCATTCTGTAAATTGACGTCGTCTGAGTTTTTTTTTTTTTCGTCTCTGGGATTCGGTCCAAATTCATCCCATGACTGATCTTGAAGACGACTTGCCTGCCAGCGCTCACATTTACTACTTTCTCCTCGTTCACAGCCTGTGACAGAATAAAACAGATTCATTTAATGTGCGTTCAGCCGGAAGACGTTTTAGTCAAAGCTTTAGAGTGGAGAGATCTGCAGAGTCACGTGTTCAGTTCAGCTGATGAACAAACTGATCTGGTTTGGATCATTTGTTGTTGTTGTTGTTGTTGCCGTGTCCCTCAGGTCAGTCCTCACCTTCACTGAGGCCTCGGAGGACGACCTGGGTCTTTACACCATAGAGGCCGGCGACAACTCGGACCTGTCGTCCAGCTACGACTTCACTGCTGAAGGTAATCGAGGACTTGGGGTTTGTCTTTTTTTGGGGGGGGGGAATTGGCAAAGTCTCTGGTGTTGCTGGAGATAGCGTAGCTTTAATTTAAAAGCCTATTAGGATTTTCTCTCAAGCAAGTAATTACGTTCCGACAAGAACCCCACAAGGTCATCTGGCCCGCGAAGTGCATGTTAATCAACTTTTAGTTTATTAGTTAGTTCTGCTGCCAAAGCTGCAAACGGTTCTACGTCCTTTGGTGCTGTTAGCATACAGTCGGACAACGACTGGACGACAGGAGAGGTAGAGACGTAGGTACCAAGGACCGGTCGGCCGGTGTCAGCCGTTACTACAACTTATTATTATCACAGTCTGAATGACCTTTGACCTGTTGTTTTAAACACTGACAGATTATTTTTCATTGAAAAAGTAAAGGGATACGACTGGACTATTTTTTTAATGACGTAAATTACTAAAAACTGAAGGACATTTTTTCACTGTGGACCGGTACAAAATGACCGGCACCGGTCCCCAGACCGGAGGTTGGAGTCCCATGTACTGGGCAATATAATTAGCCAATAACCAAGTACATTTAGAGCAGATCATATGTGTGTGATTGATTTGGGAGCTAATAATGACATTTTAAATATTAATTATAATTTATTAATAATGAGTCAATTATTATTAAATCATCATTAACCTTCATGTACTTCATGTTTTCTTCAGACCTGGAACGTCTCAAAGAACTCAGCTGGCAGGTCAGGAATCCACGTGAGTACCACAAAGATGTAGGACAGGTTTGATCAGAGTACTTTAGTAAAACAAGTAAAACTACAAACAACCGGTCATCGATGTGTCACTGGAACAGTGATCGCCCTGAAGTCGGGCTGGAACGTGGAGGTCTCTGACAAAGGCGACGTCCGTCTGTGGCTCCAGACCGAGAGTCTGAGTAAAGACGCCGAGCTGTGTCTCATCCTCAACGACAAGGAAATCTCCAGTACAACGGTGAGAGCTTCCTGTGCTTGGTCCGGGGGGGGGCAGTAGGCGGG